GAAAAACTACTATAGTGTTTATATTTATGATGCAGATTCAATCAGTTGCCGTAACATTTCTATGGCAGTGTTCAATCACCGAGGTTACTGGTAGAAGTGGTGAAATGACGAGAATTCGAACAATGTTCACAATTCCGGCAACAGAATTTGTCGTTTTCTTGAAGAAAGTACTTTAAAACACAAAGAATTTCTGTTTATAATGTTAAGCATTTGTGTATAAAGCCTTTAAATGATGATAAATCAGTTTATATTTACAATTGAGACTGAATAAGTTGGTGTTTTAGGAATAAAAAGTTTAATCCTAAAGATTCAAGTATATACTACTAAGAAATCTGTCTAATTGTGGTAAACTCTGAAACTACACAATGATACTCCCGAGAAATGATGAGGAACATGGAAGATACACCTGAAATTCAAGTAAATAGAGAAGTGACATCTCTATGGCTGTGTTCAATCACCGAGATTACAGGTAGAAAGCTGTGAAATGACGAGAATGCTGATAATGTTTACAATGCCGGCAAAGGAATTTGGTGATTTCTTGAAGAAAGTACTTTGAAAAATTAAGAATTTCTGTTTATAGAGCTCAGAATTTGAGTATAAAGCCTTTAAATGAGTATAATACTGTTTACATTTACAATTGTGGTGAAATTCATTGGGGTTTTTTGAATTAAACTGTTTACGTCCTGAAGATTCATGTATAAACTCCTAAGAAAAATTGCTAATTGTGGTAAATTTCTTAAAATACAGAATGATAGTCCCCGGAAGTGATTTGGAACATGTAAGAAACACTTGAAATTCAAGTAAATAGAGACGTTACATCTCTATGGCCCTGTACAATAACCAAGATTACAGGTAGAAAGCTGTGAAATGACGAAAATACTTATAATGTTTACAATTCCGGCAAGGGAATTAGGCATTTTCAGAAGAAAGTGTATTCAAACATTAAGAATTCCTGTTTATAGAGCTCAGAATTTGTGTTTACAGCCTTTAAATGACTAGAATACCATTTATCTTTACAAATGAGGCTGAATTAGTTGAGGATTTTGAAATAAACAGTTTAAGTCCTAAAGATTCATGTATATACTGCTAAGAAAACTGTCAAATTGTGGTAAAACACTTAAAATACACAATGATACTCCTGAAAAATGATTAGGAATGTGTAAGAAACACTTCAAATTCAACTAAATAAAGACAGAACATCCTTATGGCCGTGTCTAATAACCAAGATTACAGGGAGAAAGCTTTGAAATGATGAGAATACTGATGATGTTTAAAATTCTGGCAACGGAATTGGCGTTTTCAGAACGAAATGCTTTCAAACATTAAGAATTCCTGTTTATAGAGCTCAGAATTTCTGTATAAAGCCTTTAAATGATGAGAATACTGTTTATATTTACAATTGAGGGTGAATTGTTTGCGTGCTTTGAATATAACAGTTAAATCCTGAAGATTCTTGTATATACTGATAAGAAAACTGTCAAATTTGGCAAAACTCTTAAAATACACAATGATACTCGCGATAAATGATTAGGAACGTGTAAGAAAATCTAGAAATTCAAGAAAATAGAGACGTAACATCTCTATGGCCCTGTTCAATAACCAAGATTAAAGGTAGATAGCTGTGAAATGATGAAAATACTGATAATCTTAAGAATTCTGGCAAGGGAATTTGGTGTTTTCAGAAGAAAATGCTTTTGAACATTATGAAATCTTGTTTATAGAGTTCAGAATTTGAGAATAAAGCCTTAAATCCTGAAGATTCTTGTGTATACTGCTAAGAAAACTGTAAAAATGTGGTAAAACTCTTAAAATACACAATGATACTCCCGAAAAATGATTAGGAGTGTTAATAAACTCGAGACATTCAAGTAAATAGAGATGTAACATCTCTATGTTCGTGTTCAGTAACCAAGATTACAGGTAGAAAGTTGTGAAATGACGAGAATATTGATGTTTACAATTTCCGGCAACCGAATTTGGCGTGTTCTTGAAGAATGTACTTTGAAACATTAAGAATTTCTTTTTATAGAGTTCAGAATTTGTGTATAAAGCCTTTACATGACGAGAATACTGTTTATATTTACAACTGAGACTTAATTTTTGGCGTTCTTTGAATTAAATAGTATAAGTCATGAATATTCATGTATATACTGCCAAGAAAACTGTACAAATGTGGCAAAACACTTAAATACACGATGATACTTCCAGGAAATGATTAAGAACATACAAGAAACACTAGAAATTCAAGTTTATATTTACAATTGAGGCTGTATTCCTTGGCGTTTTTTCAATAAAACAGTTTATGTCCTGAAGATTCATGTATATACTGCTAAGAAAACTGTCTAATTGTGGCAAAACACTTAAAATACACAATGATACTCCCAAAAAATAATTAGCAACTTTTCAGAAACACTAGGAATTCAAGAAAATAGAGACGTAACATCTCTATGGCCCTGTTCAATAACCAAGATTACAGGTAGAAAGCTGTGAAATGACGAAAATACTGATAATGTTTAAAATTCCAGCAAGGGAATTTGGCCTTTTCAGAAGAAAATGATTTTAAACATTAAGAATTCCTGTTTATAGAGCTTAGAATTTCTGTATAAAGCCTTTAAATGACGAGAATACTGTTTATATTTACAATTGAGGCTGAAATGGTTGCGTGTTTTAAATAAACCAGTTGAATCCTGAAGATTCATGTATGTACTGCTAAGAAAACAGTCAAATTGTGGTAAAACTCTTAAAATACACAATGAAGCTCCAGGGAAATTATTAGGAACGTGTGAGAAACACTAGAAATTCTAGTAAATAGAGACTTAACACCTATAAGGCCCTGTCAGTAACCAAGATTACAGGTAGAAAGCTGTGAAATGACGAAAATACTGATAATGTTGGTAATTCTGGCAATGGAATTTGTCGAGTTCTTGAAGACTGTACTTTGAAATATGAAGAATTTCTTTTTATAGAGCTCAGAATTTGTGTATAAAGCCTTTACATGACGAGAATACTGTTTATATTTTCAATTCAGACTTAATTATTGGCGTTTTCTGAACTAAAGAGTATAAGTCCTGAAGATTCATGTATATACTGCTAAGAAAACTGACTAATTGTGGTAAAACACTTATAATACAGAAGGATACTCCAGAAAAATGATTAGGAATGTGTAAGAAACACTAGAAATTCAAGTAAATAGAGACGTAACATCTCTATGGCCGTGGTCAATAACCAAGATTACAGGTAGAAAGCTGTGAAATGCCGAAAATACTGATAATGTTTACAATTACGGCAATGGAATTTGGCTTTTTCAGAAGAAATTGCTTTCAAACATTAAGAATACCTTTTTATAGAGTTCAGAATTTGAGTATAAAGCCTTTAAATGCTAAGAATACTGTTTATATTTACAATTGAGGCTGAATTGGTTGCGCGCTTTGAATATAACAGTTAAATCCTCCTGAAGATTCTTGTATAGAATGCTAAGAAAACTGTCTATTTGTGGTAAAACACTTGAAATATACAATGATACTCCTGAAAAATGATTAGGACTGTGTAAGAAATACTTCAAATTAAACTAAATAGAGACGTAACATCTCTATGGTCGTGTTAAATAACCAAGATTACAAGAGGAAAGCTGTGAAATGACGAGAATACTGATAATGTTTACAATTCTGGCAATGGGACAGGTCTGTCTATATCGCTGCCATCTTGCTTCCTCCAGATTCTTGTATATACTGCTAAGAAAACTGTCAAATAGTGGTAAAACTCTTAAAATACACAATGATACTCCCGGGAAATGACTAGGAACGTATAAGAAAAACTAGAAATTCAAGTAAATAGAGATGTAACATCTCTATGGATCTGGTCAATAACCAAGATTACAGGTAGAAAGCTGTGAAATGACGAAAATACTTATAATGTTTAGAATTCCGGCAAGGGAATTTGGTGTTTTCAGAAGAAAATGCTTTTAAACATTAAGAAATCTTGTTTATAGAGTTCAGAATTTGAGTATAAAGCCTTTAAATGAAGTGAATACAGTTTATATTTACAATTGAGGCTGTATTCCTTGGCGTTTTTTGAATAAAACAGTTTATGTCCTGAAGATTCATGTATATACTGCTAAGAAAACTGTCTAATTGTGGTAAAACACTTAAAATACACAATGATACTCCTGAAAAATGATTAGGAACATTTAAGAAACACTAGAAATTCAAGAAAATAGAGACGTAACATCTCTACGGCCCTGTTCAATAACCAAGATTACACGTAAAAGCTGTGAAATGACGAAAATACTGATAATGTTTACAATTCCAGCAAGAAAATTTGGCTTTTTCAGAAGAAAATGATTTTAAACATTAAGAATTCTTGTTTATGGAGTCCAGAATTTGTCTATAAAGCCTTTAAATGATGAGAATACAGTTTATATTTACAATTGAGTCTGAATTGGTTGTGTGCTTTGAATATAATAGTTAAATCCTGAAGATTCTTGTATATACTGCTAAGAAAACTGTCATATTGTGGTAAAACTCTTTAAATACACAATTATACTCCTGGGAAATGATTAGGAACATGTATTAAACTCTAGAAATTCAAGTAAATAAAGATGTAACATCTCTATGGTCTTGTTCAATAACCAAGATTACAGGTAGGAAGCTGTGAAATGACGAGAATACTGATAATGTTTACAATTCCGGCAAGGGAATTTGGCATTTTCAGAAGAAAATGCTTTCAAACATTAAGAGTTCCTGCTAATAGAGCTCAGAATTTGTGAAAAAGCCTCCAAATGAAGAGAATACTATTTATATTTACAATTGAGACAGAATTCGTTGGTGTTTTTTGAATTAAACAGTATAAGTCATGAACAGTTCAATCCTGAAGATTCTTGTGTATACTGCTAAGAAAACTGTCAAATAGTGGTAAAACTCTTAAAATACACAATGATACCCCCGGAAATTGATTAGGAACCTGTAAGAAACACTAGATATTCAAGAAAATAGAGACATAACATCTCTATGGCCGTGTTCAATAACCAAGATTACAGGTAGAAAGCTGTGAAATGACGAAAATACTGATAATGTTTACAGTTCCGGAAATGAAATTTGGCTCTTACAGAAGAAAATGCTTAAAAACATTAAGAAATTCTGTTTATAGAGTTCAGAATTAGTGTATAAAGCCTTTAAATGATGAGAATACTGTTTATATTTGCAATTGAGGCTGAATTGGTTGCGTGCTTTGAATATAACAGTTATATCCTAAAGATTCTTTTACATACTGCTAAGAAAACTGTCAAATTGTTGGGAAACTCTTAAAATACACAATGATACTCCCAGGAAATGATTAGGAACGTGTATTAAACTCTAGATATTAATGTAACTGGAGATGTAACATCTCTATGGCCCTGTTCAATAACCATGATTACAGGTAGAAAGCTATGAAATGACAATACTTATAATGTTTACAATTCCGGCAAGGGAAATGGCGTTTCCTTGAAGAATGTACTTTGAAACATTAAGAATTTCTTTTTATACAGTTCAGAATTTGTTTATGAAGCCTTTAAATGACGAGAATACTGTTTACATTTGCAATTGAGGCTGAATTGGTTGCGTGCTTTGAATATAACAGTTATATCCTAAAGATTCTTTTACATACTGCTAAGAAAACTGTCAAATTGTTGGGAAACTCTTAAAATACACAATGATACTCCCAGGAAATGATTAGGAACGTGTATTAAACTCTAGATATTAATGTAACTGGAGATGTAACATCTCTATGGCCCTGTTCAATAACCATGATTACAGGTAGAAAGCTATGAAATGACAATACTTATAATGTTTACAATTCCGGCAAGGGAAATGGCGTTTCCTTGAAGAATGTACTTTGAAACATTAAGAATTTCTTTTTATACAGTTCAGAATTTGTTTATGAAGCCTTTAAATGACGAGAATACTGTTTACATTTGCAATTGAGGCTGAATTGGTTGCGTGCTTTGAATATAACAGTTATATCCTAAAGATTCTTTTACATACTGCTAAGAAAACTGTCAAATTGTTGGGAAACTCTTAAAATACACAATGATACTCCCAGGAAATGATTAGGAACGTGTATTAAACTCTAGATATTAATGTAACTGGAGATGTAACATCTCTATGGCCCTGTTCAATAACCATGATTACAGGTAGAAAGCTATGAAATGACAATACTTATAATGTTTACAATTCCGGCAAGGGAAATGGCGTTTCCTTGAAGAATGTACTTTGAAACATTAAGAATTTCTTTTTATACAGTTCAGAATTTGTTTATGAAGCCTTTAAATGACGAGAATACTGTTTACATAATGTTTACAATTTCGGCAAGGGAATTTGGCGTTTTCAGAAGAAAATGCTTTCAAACATTAAAAGTTCCTATTTATAGAGCTCTGAATTTGTGAAAAAGCCTATAAGTGACGATAATACTGTTGATATTTACAATTGAGACTGAATTCAATGGTGTTTTTTTGAATTAAACAGTATAAGTCATGAAGATTCATGTATACACCGCTAAGAAAACTGTAAAAAGGTGGTAATACTCTTAAAATACACATAGGTACTCCCGAAAAATGATTAGGAAAGTGTAAGAAACACTAGAAATTCAAGAAAATAGAAAGGTAACATCTCTTTGGCCGTGTTCAATAACCAAGATTACAGGTAGAATGCTGTGAAATGATGAAAATACTGATAATGTTTACAATTCCAGCAAGGGAATTTGGTGTTTTCAGAACAAAATGCTTTCAAACATTAAGAGTTCCTGTTTATAGAGTTCAGAATTTGTGTATAAAGCATTTCAAGGACGAGAATACAGTTTATATTAAAATTCTGGCTGAATTGGTTGCCTGCTTTGATTATAACAGTTAAATCCTGAAGATTCTTGTATAGACTGCTAAGAAAACTGTCAAATTGTGGTAAAACTCTTAAAATATGAAATGATACTCCGGGGAAATGATTAGGAACGTGTATTAAACTCTAGAAAATCAAGTAAATAGAGATGTAACATCTCTATTGCCATGTTCAATAACCAAGATTACATGTAGAAAGCTGTGAAATGACCCAAATACTAATAATGTTTACAATTGTGGCAATGGAATTTGGTGTTTTCTTGAAGAATGTACATTTAAACATTAACAATTTCTATTTATAGAGATCAGAATTTGTGAAAAAGTCTATAGATGTCGAGAATACTGTTTATATTTACAATTGAGACTGAATTCGTTGGCGTTTTTTGAATTACACAGTATAAGTCATGAAGATTCATGTATATACTGCTAAGAAAACTGTAAAAATGTGGCAAAACTCTTAAAATACACAATCATACTCTTGACAAATGATTAAGAATGTTAATAAACTCGAGAAATTCAAGTAAATAGAGACATAACATCTCTATGGCCCTGTTCAATAACTAAGATTAGAGGTAGAAAGCAGTGAAATGATGAAAATACTGATAATGTTTACCGTTCTGGAAATGAAATTTGACTCTTACAGAAGAAAATGCTTAAAAACATTAAGAAATCCTGTTTATAGAGTTCAGAATTAGTGTATAGAGCCTTTAAATGATGAGAATACTGTTTATATTTGCAATTGAGGCTGAATTGGATATGTGCTTTGAATTTAACAGTTATATCCTGAAGATTCTTGTACATACTGCTAAGAGAACTGTCAAATTGTGGGGATACTCTTAAAATACACAATGATACTCCCAGGAAATGATTAGGAACGTGTATTAAACTCTAGATATTAAGGTAACTGGAGATGTAACATCTCTATGGCCATGTTCAATAACCATGATTACAGGTAGAAAGGTATGAAATGACAAAAATTCTGATAATGTTTACAATTCCGGCAACGGAATTTGGCGTTTCCTTGAAGAATTTATTTGAAACATTAAGAATTTCTTTTTATAGAGTTCAGAATTTGTGTATGAAGCCTTTAATTGACGAGAATACTGTTTACATTTGCAATTGAGGCTGAATTGGTTGCGCGCTTTGAATATACCAGTAAAATCCTGAAGATTCTTGTACATACTGCTAAGA